GGTGGGCCGGTGCAGTGTCCCGAGTGTTTTCGGACGTTTGCGAATATTGGAAGGTTAGTGATTTGTTTCTTGATGTTGCGATATCCTAATTCCAGTGAAATGCATCATACTTTTTGGCCATTTTTCGGATTTTGACAGTTATTTATAAAAGAAAACGACACAGAGTTGGGAAAAAACGCGTATAAAACTGTCTCAGAAAATGAATTTCTCATCGTCAAGTATTTGTTTTGCTGCACAATATATGTTATGAAGTTGAAGAAATCTCATCGAACTTTTTGATTTTTTACCCGAGTGAAGTTTTCATATAATCGTATGTGTTATGGGCATTGATTATGTTTGATGTATGCAGATTGGAAAGGCACATGGCTGGATATCATGCCTCGTTTGGTTCACATCACTGTATATTGTGTGGCAATCGTTTCAAGTATGATTACAATCTGTTGTATCACTATCGACGGTCGTGTCCTTACACGAAGATTTATATCGATCGAGAGATGCGAGAACAGGTCGTGTTCATTTTGGGAATTCATTATTCATTCCTTAATTGCTTTCAATCAACTCAAATTGCAGTTTGCGTAACATCGGCTTAGGAACGAGAACGTTGTTAATTTTTTGCGCAGTCAAAATTTCCGTCATTTCTGCTGCATTTTATTCTTGTTGAATTGATTTTATTCATTATTTTTTGGTGGACTGATTTATTGTTCAGATTGTAATTTGTTTCGTTAGAGTAATTAATAATTTATTCTTTGATAAGTTCATAAGAGACCTGAGACAAGCTGTAATTTGAAAATGTGGTAAATTGAAAAGTTTGAACTGGTGGTTTAAATTGAGCTTAGGTTCAGTCTTATGCTAGCATCTGGGACGAGGCCATTAAGATGTGTATTGGAGCTTATACTCACGCTGGAGCTTTAGAAGCATTTCTATCCATGCAACCATTCTCAATAGTTTCTGTTCCAACTCGATTTTCAATGAAGCCATTAAGATGTGTCTTCATTTCTGGCTTATTTGAAGTACAGTCTGACGGATTTTGAGTAAAAAATTTTCATAAAAGTGTAAAAATTTCAGTTGGACGCAACAAATCTACGAAAATTGGTGCGCAAGATCTCGCAGGAGGAACTGCCTTCGTCTTCGCCGTTATCACTGAACAGATTATTGCACAACAAAGATTTGCTGTATAATAAACGGCAAATGTTAAGATATCAAACCAACCTGAATAATCCTCTGCCGCAGTTATTAATACCCAAACCTGGATTACAACACGCAAAGTCATGTCCTGTCTGTTGTGAGTTCTTATTGTGATTGTTTCGTGTATTATCGATAAGATTGATATTGTTTAGTGATGATTGTACTGTTTTAAGCGGTAATATTTTACGGGACGGATGTGGTTGAACGACACATCAAGGCAGCGCATCCGATCGAATGGGAATTACAGTTCAGTGAGAACGCTATCAATGCTACAAATATCAGTCGGAGTGCGAATGCTGTCGGATCTATTCACAGAGGTACATCGAGCATTATTTTTATCGTTATTAATATTGTTTTTATTATGATCGTCATTATTTGATGTGGTTGCTATCCAAATGGGATAAGCAAAAATATGAAGATTGTTATCAAGGAAATCTACTTTAGGTGATGACGGTGAGAATGGTGGTGAGTATGAAACTGATGATGTGGAACCACCGCCGACACTGACCGCAGAATCACCCGTTGAGCAGGTTGCATGATTTGTTTTTCTTTGTTTCGTGGTGTTATTCAATATTGATTTGAGATCAAACGATTTGAAAATGTTAATGTAATTTAATGCAATTTTAAGCCAGTCGTTCGAAGTGAGCCCATAATTCGACGAGCACATCATATCGAGGTGGACGAGGATGGCAATCAGAAGTTGGTGGATGAAAATGGAGTTGTGGTGAGTTCTTTAGATAACAATAGTAATGTGTAGTGAGTATATTCAGCAATAACTGTGAACAGTAACGACTGGAAGGTATAATAATAATAGTAATGATAATAGTAATAATAATAATAATAATAAAAGCAGTGAACCAATTAAAGATAGAAGCAGCAGAAGGTGAAGAAGTGCACGTGGAGATGGAT